TAGCATTCAAAGGGAAGTGAAAACAAAGAAGAAAACACTTACAGAAGAATCTTGTGTAGAGAGGCAAGAAAGGAGGAGGAAGAGCTAATGCAGGCAGTCCATCAATCCCCAACAGTAAACAAGCTGCCTATTTACATCACATAGCTTGAACTTGAGGGAAGCAATTTTGCTTCTAATGGCCATTTGAACAACTTTGGTGACATAATTAGAATCCCTGAAGTGATTTCTGAATCTTCTGTTGTTTCTCTCCATCCATAAATGGTAAATAGTGGCCCCAAGGCTCAATCTAAGAAGAACATTTAGCAGTGATTTTCCAATCCAATTAGAAGCAGCCCATTCAATCATCACGGTCCAGGGTCTAGGTTGAAGAGTGATACATGAAATGGCCAAAATAGAATTCCAAATCCCAGCTGAGAAGGAGCAGTCGAAGAAGAGGTGATGGTAGATTCATCAGCAGCTCTACAGAGGATGCATTCAGTTCCAAGATGAGCTGCGTCAGACTGCATTCTATCCAGGATGTTAAGCTTGCATCCAATAGCAAGCCAAAAAATGAAGTTGAATTTGGGAACAGATTTGCTATTCCAGACCAGCTTATGCCAAGTAATAAGAGGGTATTTACTCCTAGTAGCCTCCCATGCAGATTTGGAAGTGAATTTATAATTAGCAATTGGGGACCACTTCACCACATCCTCCCTACTTGAATCCAGCTGATAGGAAGGAAGATTCCTGATGATATCTTGAGAAGTAGAAGAAGAACAAGCAGGCCATTGCCATCTACTGTCGGAGATAATGCAGCTAACCATGCAATTTCTTAGCAAATTAGTCCCCTGAATCACCTCNTGTTTTTTTTTTCTTTTTTTTTTTCGGAAGTTAAACTGTATACATAAGGAAAAATACAAGAACAGAACAGAGAGGGTGATGCTTACATGACAGACTGCATCCGCCATAACAAAGGAAGAACCAAAAAGAAAAACAAATAAACCAAGAGAATGGAAAACAAAAGAAAGTTCCGGCCATGAGCTGGTGCTTTTCGAAGTGCCCAGAATCAAAAGAAGACAGATAAGACAAAAGGCATCTCCTCAAAATAGAGGAAGGCAGGTAGCATTCAAAGGGAAGTGAAAACAAAGAAGAAAACACTTACAGAAGAATCTTGTGTAGAGAGGCAAGAAAGGAGGAGGAAGAGCTAATGCAGGCAGTCCATCAATCCCCAACAGTAAACAAGCTGCCTATTTACATCACATAGCTTGAACTTGAGGGAAGCAATTTTGCTTCTAATGGCCATTTGAACAACTTTGGTGACATAATTAGAATCCCTGAAGTGATTTCTGAATCTTCTGTTGTTTCTCTCCATCCATAAATGGTAAATAGTGGCCCCAAGGCTCAATCTAAGAAGAACATTTAGCAGTGATTTTCCAATCCAATTAGAAGCAGCCCATTCAATCATCACGGTCCAGGGTCTAGGTTGAAGAGTGATACATGAAATGGCCAAAATAGAATTCCAAATCCCAGCTGAGAAGGAGCAGTCGAAGAAGAGGTGATGGTAGATTCATCAGCAGCTCTACAGAGGATGCATTCAGTTCCAAGATGAGCTGCGTCAGACTGCATTCTATCCAGGATGTTAAGCTTGCATCCAATAGCAAGCCAAAAAATGAAGTTGAATTTGGGAACAGATTTGCTATTCCAGACCAGCTTATGCCAAGTAATAAGAGGGTATTTACTCCTAGTAGCCTCCCATGCAGATTTGGAAGTGAATTTATAATTAGCAATTGGGGACCACTTCACCACATCCTCCCTACTTGAATCCAGCTGATAGGAAGGAAGATTCCTGATGATATCTTGAGAAGTAGAAGAAGAACAAGCAGGCCATTGCCATCTACTGTCGGAGATAATGCAGCTAACCATGCAATTTCTTAGCAAATTAGTCCCCTGAATCACCTCCAAGCTACAAATAAGACAAAGAGGCCCAAATTTATGCTAGTTATCAGACCAAAGACTGGTCCTATTTTCATTACCAATAATATGAACCATAAGAGGTCTCACAAAATGCCTGGATTTAAGAAGATTGAGCCAATTCCAAGAGCAGGCATGGGGCGTTTTCAAATCCCAAAAACTTCTTCCTTTAAAATAATAAGCATGGATCCATATGACCCAAAGATTTTGTTTGTCAGTGAAGAGAAGCCAAATGTATCTTAGCATTAAGGAGAAATTCCACTCTTTGATATGCTTGATCCCCAAACATCCTTCTTTTTTTGGCTTACACACTTTATCCCAAGCAACCTTAGCAACATTGCTCCCCAAAATAGTCCCACTCCAGAGGAATTTTCTCATCATTTGCTCAATCTTATCAATAATCTGTTGAGGGAGAAAGAGATAAGAAGTCTAGTAGGTTTGAATACTACTAATAATCGACTGGATGAGGAGGAATCTACCAGCATAAGAAAGATTTTTATTGATCCAAGAACCCACCCTATTCTCAATTCTAACAAGTAATTCATTATAGTGGAAATTCCTTAATCTGGATGAAATAAGAGGGATACCTAGGTATGTCACTAGCAATTGCCCATCAGGAAAGCCAAGAAGACTCTTAATTTGATCCTTAACATCATCTTGAATACCACACATGTAAATATGGCTCTTGAAATGATTAGCTTGCAGCCCAGAAAAATCCTGAAATTGAATGAGGGTTGAGTTGAGAATGCTCACAGAATTAAGGTCACCATAGCAGAAGAGCAAGAGATCATCAGCGAAAGAGAGCTGGGAGAATAGGAGTTTCTTGCACCTCCAATGAAACTTGAAAATCCTGAAATCTCTTATTTTAGATTAAATAAGAAGAGATAGGATCTCCATTGCAAGCACAAATAAATAAGGAGAGATAGGATCCCCCTGTCTTAGATCTTTATAGTTGCGAAAAAAACCTGCCAAATTACCATTAATATTGATAGAGAAGCAAGGGGAAGAGATGCATTGCTAGATCCAAGTTCTCATAACAGGAGGAAAATTAAAAGCTTCTAAAACATCCATAAAAAACTCCAATTAACAGAATCAAAAGCCTTCTGTAAGTCTACTTTAATAGCACATCTAGGAGTTCCCTTGTTTCTGTGGTAGTTCCTCAAAAGCTCTTGAGCTAGGAGGATTTTATCACCAATCCTTCTACCAAGGATGAAGGCAGATTGAGACTGGCTGATAAGATTAGGGAGGAAATTTTTAATTCTAGAAGCCAACAATTTTGAGATGGCCTTATAATTAGTGTTGCAGCAAGCAATTGGTTTGAACTCATTCATAGAGAAAGGATTAGGGCACTTGGGGGCTAAAGTAATGATGGTTGCATTCATTTCCTTAAGGAGTTTACCAGTTGCAAGAATTCCTTAATAGCCTTGATGATATCATTCCCTATAACAGGCCAAGCTTTCTTGAAAAAATAGGCATTATACCCATCAGGTCTAGGGGATTTAAAATTATTCATAAAGAAAAAAATTGACTTGATTTCCTCATCAGTAACCATCTCAGACATACTAGAGGCCTGTGCATCAGTCACTTTGTTGTGGACAATAGACTCCAGCATAGATCTTCTACCCACAGTAGATACCAGATTGTAGGAATGTGAGAAGAGATTCTTGAAATGTTCAATAACAACTCTCTTAACCTCCTGGTTCCCTTCAACAATAAGCCCGCTATCATTCTTAATAGAAATGATTTTCTTCCTATTTCTCCTATTGATCACGGATTTAAAGAAGAATCTTGTGGTTTGGTCACCCTCTTTGAGCCAGAGAATCCTATATTTCTGCTTATACATTAACTCCTCAGCCTTAGAAGCAGCAAGGTATTCAGCTAAAAGAATCTTTCTCTCCTCCCACTTAGAGTGGTCATTAGGGTTGGTATCAATGCTTCTCTTGAAATTATCAAGGTCAAGCTTGGTCTTAACGACCAAATCAATGATTGACCCTTTTTCTCTACAAATAGATTTGAAGATATTTTTGAGGAGCTTTAGTTTCTTAAAAACTTTGAACTGATGAGAGCCTTGGATAGGTTCACACTAAGAAACAGCCACAAGGTCTAAAAAATCAGTTCTATCAGCCAGGTGATTGAAGAATTTGAAAGGGGCATTCTTGTCTCTCATAGATTCACCAAATCTTACAATAAAAGGAGAGTGATTAGAGACACCTGAAGGCAAGAATTCATCTTCGGATTGGTGAGAAAAAGAATTCCATCTCTCGTTGACAAGAGCTCTATCAAGTTTCCTTGAGATGCAACTAGAGCCATGCCTATTATTGCTCCACGAATGAAAGATGCCAGAAAACCTGAGGTCCTCAAGCTTAGCACTCTGGATGCAATCCTCGAACTCCATATCTTGTGTCCAGTGACCGGAGCATCCACACGATTCTTTTAGGATTTCTAATGATATTGAAGTCACTCATGATAATCCAAAGGTCATTATAATGAAGACTAGCCTGCGAAGTAAGATCATGCCAAAGCCTTCTTCTTTCAATCTCTTCATTCTGAGCAAACACAAAAGATAAATAGAAGTTGAGCTGACTACCCAACTGTTGAACATGACAATGAACAGCTTGGTCAGATTTAGACAACCTTCTAACAAGAAGGGAATCAGGATTCCAGGCAATCCAAATTCTACCATAGGGGTGACTCAAGTAATTATTGAGTGTATCCCAGTTCATGAACAAATTCTCTATAATTTTGTTCTTGTTCACCAATCTTACCTTGGTTTCAATAATGCTCATTAGGTCAAGTCACTGGCCCCTAACAAGCTTCTTTATTTCTTCCTGCTTAGAGGAGTCATTTAGTCCTCTAATATTCTAGCAGGAGATAACAATCATCAAGAGAGAAGATTTTTGTTGAGCCTAAGGCACTCAGCCTTCCTACTCCCCCCATTGGTCTGGGATTTTCTCTTAGATTTTTTCTTTTTCTTTTGTGATGCATTGCTATTAATCAAAACATGCAGAGAGTTCGTAAGGTTCTTAAGACACGGGGTAACTTTAGGAGTATTAGGTGGAGGGAGCATGGAAGGCTTTGGGCTAATACCCACAATCAGATTGCCACCCTCCTCAATAAGACATTCGAATCTATTATTGCTAGTAGGACCAACAAGAGATTCAGAATGGGGGGATTGGAAATGGGGGGAGACAACATTCACCTGATAATCATTCTGTAGACCTGCATATTGAAGACCAGGAGTGCCATTGACGTCACTTCCCATATGGGTTTGACAGAGAGGATCAATCATGATAACTTTTCCTTTATCAAACACAGTTGGAATTGGCTCCAGAGGGTTATCAGAGAATGATGCAGCTAGATTAGCAGTAGAAGGAGAAATGATCTCAGTTGCAGAAGAAGGATATTGGGAGTCAGAGTGACCAAATATTTGGCAGTGGCAGCAAGCCCTTGGCTTCCATTGATATTCAACTCCAATACTCATTGTGTGATGAGCATCATCACCCCCTAGCTGAAGGTTGAAAAAGTCAATCAATCCATCCTTTGCACTAACTTCAACACAAATGCGTGTAAAGTTGATTCTTTTCTTGCTAGAGGTTAGCGAATTAGCATAAAGGGGTCTACCAACTGCACTAGCCAAGTAGCTCAAACCCTCCTCCGTCCAAAATTGGAGAGGAATGTTGTAGAGCTTAATCCAAATTGGGATGGAAGAGTGATCTTCTTTTGAAATAACAACATTAGCCTGCCACATTTTTAGAATCAAAGGCCTCCCCTGAAATAACCAGGGGCCTGTTTCAACAACCTTAGATCTTGCTTCTTCACTTTCAAACTTAAAGAAGAAGAAACCATGGTCATTAGCAAGAACCTCCAACAAACCCATGCAGTTCCATACTTTGTGAGCAATAAATTTCACAGAAGAAAATGACAGTTTTTTTTCTATGAAATATCCTACCAAACAATTACTCCATTCAGCACATCCTTTGTTCACCACTTCAGGAGGAGGAAGAACAATAACCTTATTGTTGAGTCTCTTTGGCTGGTAGAATTTTAGCTTTATCTACTCTTGAGTAGGGCTGGAGTATGAATTGGGATTTTGGATATTTCCCGCTCTTCCAAATTTCAAAACATGGTTCTATGGAGTTTTGGGAACTCCTTTCACTTGCTGGTTATTACTCGGCTTATTACTCACAGGAGGGGTAGGAGCATTCACCACCACAGGGACAACTGCCACAGATATGGCACCAGAACCAGAGGGGGGCAAACTAGAGGGGGCCGAACTAGAGGAGGACAGCTTAGGGCCAGAAAAAGGACCAAGCAACAAAGTGCTATCGGATCCTAGACAGTGAACGCTAGATTCAATGCCATTAATGACAAGGGAATTAATGGGTGTAGATTTGGAAGTATCGGTGAGAGCAGGAGGTGAGGGAATGTTCTCGCCACCATTAATGACTGGATCACTAATGATGGAGCAAGGACCCATGATGGAGGAGGAGACTAGAGATCAGTGGGTTGGAAGAAGGGGCTAAAGGGGGAAAAAGAGGAACAGAGGATGGCCATGCTTGCAGGTGGTGGATGGTGGGTGGACGGTGGTGGTGGGTTTTGCTTGATTTGGTGATGGGTGGATGGGTGGAAGTGGTCTTTGCTTGGATTGGAGATGGGTGGTGGCAGGTTATAGTGGAGAATGGTGTAGCTGTGGGGTTTCGGTGGTGGATGGATGTATGGGAGTGGTGGGTTTAGCTTCGGTTGGTGGTTTTAGAGTGTTACAAACTCATGGGATCAGCAAAAATAGTTCAGATTTTTTTTTTTATTTTTTATAGTGTGTTTCTTATGTCCTTATCGGCCCGGACATAGCATTTGAAATTAATACCAGTCCGGATGCTAAACAAACATGCCCTAAAAGTGTAGCATTATGAAGCAACAAAAAGAAAAAAAATAAAAATCAGAAAATATTTTTTTACCCAAAAAAATAAACATTACAAACTGAGCCTCTGGGAGGTTAACGAAAGAAAAATGAAAAAAACTATGAAATAGTCAGAAGGATTAGTCATGCATATTAGAGCTCAACTCGAAGATGATGGGTTGGTATGGTATCACACAAACACACACAACGGGAAGATGACTATTAGTAAACCATGTGCCTGTAAAGTGATATGATTCATACAATGAAATAGTCTTCTGTCAAATTATTTCTGAAAAAAGATCATACTATGAATGGAGGACTATGTGATTCCTCATTTGTCCACGGCAATAAGTAAAGATTAACTGTCTCTTAAACTGAAATCAGCGCTACATAGTTCTCGGCTCCTCTCGTACAACAATACTTTTGTCAAAAAGAAGCACGCTCTCAAGAACATAGGAGGCCATGACTGAACATATACTGTGAAAAACCCCTTTCAGTTTTATATAGTTATAATGTGTATGCCTTCTCCTTTAAACCTAGTCTTCTAGGGGCTCTATAACCTTTTCAATCTTTTTCAATAATCGAGACTCAAACTCTATAACCTTTTCAACAGAAAAATAGACTATGGTACTATACAATGTAGAGATTGACTAATTCTTCGGAGTAAATCTTTTGAAGTAAGAAAGAATATAAAGCTAAAAAGGGGCAAAAAACTCGACATGACTACCACTATGGTGCTTGCACTTAATCTTTCAACTCCCATACAAACTTCAAAAGTCTGCGGTTGTGTATGAAACAGTTTGTTTGCTCATTTTTTGTCTTTTTTTTTTCCTGAAGTAGCACAATAAGTTTTCTGCTAAAAAAAAAAAAAGCTTTCTGCTAGAAACTTGTAACTTGAGTAGATCATTGTCTAGCGCAGAAAACACACATATATACCCAAAGTATAAGTAGACAATTTTGAAGGATCACATCTTTAATATTCACCATTTCAAAGGCTACTGGGTTTATGCATATAACCTGTCAATACAGTATTGCCCATACCAAGAACATGCAATAGAAAGTACTAAAATTTGGAAACCAAATGATGATTGAGTAATTATTAGAAATGTTGTGTGACTGCCATGTACCATTCTAGATAGTTGATCAATGTGGCTCTCCACCAAATGCAACATACGTCCACCCCAATGGCCTTGCTCTATAATTTTGGCAAAATACATTTAAAACAAGTAAAAGAATAACAATGTCCAGGCAACAATATACGTTTTGGAGTTAATCTACTATTGAATAATTTGGTGCCAAATACGAAGAAAAGTAATGTGTACATAGAGAAAATAAAGCAGATTCAAAACTAGAAACATCATATCACTTGTGTTTTCTTTAATTTTGTTCTCTACAGAAAAGCTATAGTATATGTGCGTGCTGGATCTTGTACAATATAAATACGAGAACAGATCTCTCCCTTGGTGAACTCGAGTGAGTCAGTCGAGTGGTCAGCCCCGCTGCTTAAAACAGCCTGTGAGGTCCGGTGGTAACCTAGAACGGTAATGGGAGATCCTCATAGATCAACANAAGAAGAACAAGTTAGAAGGGCGTCAGAGTGTTTTCCGGCATATCCCCTCCGACGATCAAGTCAATTTTTGAGAGAGAGGAAGAAGAAAATACTGAGTATAATTTGTAGTAAAAATTTCACCTCCCTTTTCTTGCCTTTAGTGAGGAGTATTTATACCTCAAATACTCATTATTGCTGTCAGTGTGGTCAGTAGGTGATCATTAGATACAGGCAACGTGCGCACTGATTCCTACGAGAAATGTCTTCTCTTTTAACTGCTCGGGACCCCGAGCAATCAAGACTGTGTCATCGGCCTGCCAACGGTTCAATGAGCTCCTCTCGGGGAGGATGCAATAAATGCCCAGCCTTAGAGACATTTATTGCCTTTCACTTCCGAGCCTTACCGTATTGAATGCAGTCTCATCAAGGGAATGGTGTAATTAAATGCTTGCTTTTCCAAGTCGTGTGTCAGCAAGGGCATGCGATCTTTCTGTCTCTGATGTGACGCAATATGCCACGCGTCCATTCCCCATTGGCTGTGGCCCCTGCCTTCTTGTGCCTTCTGACACTAATTGTGTAAGACGAGGTCATAATAGCTAACTTAGCCTAGCCTAGGCTAGTGACCTGTACATCAATAGCCTCTGTAGGAGCAGAGAACGCCATCCTGGACGGAGGTACATCTCGGTACCGAGGGGAATTGGTACATCTCGGAGCCGAGGGAAGGTGTATAAAGCGACCGATGTACCCATATCAGACCGAGGGATACGTGTCGGTTCGTAAACGTACTGGATGCCACTTGATCCCTATGACAAAAGTACCTCGGGGGAGAGGGACTTTGTGAGCCGATGGTACGTGATCTCAGTAACAGGTTTTTAGTGACACCGAGGACACGTGTCTTCATCTTGGAGTATTTCAGAAATGTCCCATCAACTGCCCCCCAGCATTCGATCTTCTGACGCCGAGGACACGTGTCGTAAGGAGACGAAGGATTTTACAACAACCCCAACTGCTTCATCATTGCGTTTAGTCGTTTTTCCCTGCTTAGGACGTCGTGCACATTAAATGCGCCTTTTCGTGCTTCGCGCCCAATGATGAGATTGGTACTATATAAATGGGCTTCCTCTCCCATTTTCTCATTTCGTCATTCCGAACTTCCTCAAGAGAGCCCTTGCCTGAATCTTCGCCGGAGATCTCTTTCCTTCCGTTGTCAACTGCCCAACCTTTTCCCTAAAGTCTTAAGGCCAACAGACCCATTGTTGCTTCTGAACATTCTGGAAGGAGTCGCCTCAAGTTTTCTAGAAAAAACTCTGTTTTACATTCTGGTGAGTCCCAGTATCTTTCCTCTCTTCGTCCTTCTATCCCTTTTGATTTTTTGATAACTGGAGGTGTCTCTGGTTGCCACTTAGCGACCAATCCTCGGGAAGCTTCCTTGGAGATCTTTAAGGGAAAAACATCCTCCACTTTTTCTCACTTTCTTCGAGATGCCTCGTCGTCGTCATGCCCCCGAGAATCCTCAGGCCAGTTCTTCGGGGTCAGGGAAGTATAAAGTAAAGGGTGGTGAGCCAATTAATAGGTTTAAGGTCAAGTACAACATCCCCTCGTACGTAGACATAGAGGATTATAACCCGGTCGTGCACTCTCGTACCTTCGGGGCTGAGGATGCAATGCCCTTTTATACCAAAGTCATAATAGAGGGCGGAATTAGGTTCCCTTTGCCCCCTTTACTTCTTCAGTTCCTTTCCCATTTCCACCTCTTCCCCGGGCAGTGTTGCCTTAATGTCTTCAGGATAATTATGAGAGTCCTAGAGCTCAATAGGCGTCTCGGGATAAATGTTGGGCTGAACGATATCCTTTTTTGCTATTCCCTCTTGAGAGTCATGCCTCAACAACACTTCTACCTCAAAGCCAGGGACCCATCTATGTACCTCGTAACTCACCTTCCCGACTCGGACAAGGGGTACAAGGATGACCTACTTATCTTCAAGGGATCTTGGCAGAGAGGTGTCGGTCCTGAGTATAACGGCTTGTTATGCCCTTTGGAATGGAGAACGACAAGTACGTCAGTTCCTTCGGGTCCATTATTTTGTTCTTGAGATTTTCTATGTTCATGACTCCTTTTTTGTTTGTGCAGATGTCCCTGCTCGGGAAACTGCTCCTCCCCCTCGGTCGTTGGTGAACTTTGCCGACCTAGTCACAGTTTGGAGATTTACTGGTGACGACGGGTTCGACCGGGCTGCCCACATCCTCCTAAATTACACTCCCGGATATAAGAAGTTTTCACAGCTTCCCCAACCTTTCGAGCCTTCGCGGTGGTCTGAACTATTTGATCAAGCGGTGGGACAAGAGGGCGAGGAGAATTTGGAGGAAGACCCTCACCGGGCTTCGAAGGCAGAAGTAAAGGGTGAAGTTGAAGAGCTCGGGGTCAGAGAGGACTTGGTTCCTTCGCCCGCCGAGGTGGGGACTTCGGGGAGAGATTCGTGGCCAGACTTCCAAATTTTACAATCTCTAGAGGTCGAAGACGCCCTCGAGATAGCTATATCCAGCACGCCTCGCATTGATCTAGGATTCTTGAGGCAGAGGCAAGCCCTTGCTGCCGGGAGGGGATGAGGATCGGTCGGTGGGGCCCCATCTGCAGGGACCAGCACCACCCCATCCTCAAGAGTCGTCAGTCAGGGACAAGTGGGTGATCGAGATCCTCAGGTAGAGGAGGAGAGAAGGGTCAAACATAGGCACGATGGCCTTGGCAGGGGATCTAGGGCACCCTTCGCTCAGCAGCAAAGTGGGAGAGGCTGTGGGTTACCTCCTGCTCCTCAGCAACAACAGCACCAGCAACAACAACAGTAACAACAGCAACAGCGGCAACAGCAGACTCCTCCTCCCCTTCCGCCGACAGTGGAAGCCGCGGAGTGGAATCCTCGAGCCACTGATCACATGAACCGAGTGATCAGGGTCGACGACTCCATTTTGCAAGACCCCCATGTCGCCAATGCAGTGAGTGAGATGCTGTATTTCGAGGCCGACATGGTGGCCCACAGGGGGTGATCAACGAACGTGTTGTTTCGCTCTATCATCCAGAATTCTCTGGTGGTAAGTTCCATCTTTGCTTCAGTCTTTTTTTTTGCCACTTTTCTTTTGAGTGACATGTCTTTTCCTTTGCAGGCCACCCAACAGATCTCCATAATAGCGGCGCGGTATCATAGGGCTAGGATGGACCTCCAGCGGGTTCGAGAGCAGAAGAAAGAAGCGGAGGGGGCCCTCGACAGTGCTAAGGAGGACGTAGCTGCCAGGGATTCCACCCTCGCAGGCAGGCTGCTCAAATCAAGCAACTTCTCAAGGATGCCGAGTTGGCTAAGGTCGGTGCTGAAAAGTTAAGTGCTGCCCTTGCCGACGCTGAGAGGAGCATTATAGAACAGACGCAGCGGCTCTCTGCGGCGGAGGAGAGGGCTGTTGGTTCAGAGGAAAGCTGTCTGGCTCTGACCCAGGAGCTAGACAGGATCAGGGCTGAGGCGCAGAACAGGAAGTCCGAGGAACAACTCCGAGAAGAGTTCACCGATGACCGCTCTTGAAGAAAATAGCAAGAAGTTCTTCAACAAATGGTGGGACGAGGCGCTCCAATCTGCTGGGATCTCGTCAGACTCCTCGCTCTTCCAGATGCACAAATACGTACCTTCGGCGGAGATGGAACAGGCCGAAGCTGAGATTGCTGCCGAGGGCATGATTCCAACGCCGGTGCAAGTTTCGGCTGATCCGCCCGAGGCAATAATAGTGGATTTGTCTGATGAGGCCCTGCCGGACTAGGCCCTTGACCATAATATTTCTCAGGGTCTCTCTGTTGCTGAAGTACCTCCCACTCTACCTGCTCCCGAAGCTGCTCAACCTTTCTACGCCGATTCGCCCTCGGCAGATGTTTTGGAGATGCCCGGGGCCAGATGAAAGCTTTTTTCTTTTCGATTGTTCTTTTATTTTTTTAGCTCTTGGGGATGCAAAACCCCTCTTTTTGAAATAAAGCTTTTGAGTATTTATACTTTCTTGCGTACACTTTTTTGCGTAGAATTCCTTGAACTGTCTCCAGGGCCTTGCCCTTTTAGGAGGTTTGCTCCTGTGTTTATTTCGGGGGCAGGAGTCCTTGAACTCTATCCCCAGGGCCTTGCCTTTCCAGGAGGCTTGCTCCTGTGTTTGTTTCGGAGGCAGGAGTCCTTGAACTCTGTCCCCAGGGCCTTGCCTTTCCAGGAGGCTTGCTCCTGTGTTTGTTTCGGGGGCAGGAGTCCTTGAACTCTGTCCCCAGGGCTTTGCCCTTCCAGGAGGTTTGTTCCTGTGTTTGTTTTGGGGGTAGGAGTCCTTGGTCAGGGATCGGTACAGGTCCGTGTCCCTTGCCAAGCCGAGCCTGAAAGACGCCGCTGCCATGATTTCTGAGCAGCCTTCTACCTCATTGACCTCTTTCCAGTACCGGATGACATACTGGCAAAGGGTCTCGAATTCCCTACGTTTGAGCGTTAGCAATGATCCCACATCTTTAGGCCACTTACTCCCCGTAATGAATCGAGCCAGGAACTGCCNTCTCGGATTCCCTCCGTCTGAGGGTCAGCAATGATCCAATGTCTTTGGGGCGCTTACTCCCCGTAATGAATCAAGCCAGGAACTGCTTAGTCAATTCCTTCCAGGACCCAATACTGTTAGGGGAAAACGCCTCAAACCACTTCATCGCAGAGTCCCCCAAGCTCAGAGGAAACACTCGGCAGAGAAACTGTTGGTCCGAATGATAGAGGGACATCATCTGCTTGTATTGCCTGAGATGGGCTTCGGGATCGGACCGCCCGTCATAAGTTTTGAACCTCGGCACGACGAACTTTCTTGAAACCTCTATCTCTCCTATCTCCCTGTTAAAGGGTGTTTATATGACCTCGTCTTCGACCTCATCCTGGACAGCCTTACTCTTTCTCCTGGATTCCAACCAGGCTCTAAGATCAATTTCCTCCCTGACGGGATGTCTTCTGAAGTTCTTGAGTTCATTAATAGGCCCCCCATTTCCTGGGCGCCGTGTGGATAGGGTAGAATCCTCCTCGAACTCATCTCCCTTCCTCCGTCTCGACAATCCTCGTCGGAGGTCGTCCAGGGCTAATGGTCTTACCTTCCTTGAATGGTCGTTAGGAGGGTGCTCGTTGGCTCTCGGTCGCTTTGGGGCCCTAGAGCTTTCTGCTTTGTTGTTTAGATGATTCCTTAGATCCTTCGTTTCCACCTCCCGGGCGGGGAGCCCACGAGAAAGGAATGAGTCCCTCGACCCTTCGTCGGAGGCGGCAAATTCGTTGAGCCGGCTTAGGACGTTTACATTGTCCTTTTTCAACTGTCGTAATCTATCGCCAAACTTTTCTTCGATCACCTCTGCCAGCTGACGAGCCAAGGGGGCAGATCCTCCTGACCTGATTCTCATACTGGTTTGAGGGGTAACCCCTCTTGACTGAGTAGAGGCATTCTTATTCCCATAAGTGTGATCCCTCCCTCCATGGTGACAGAGAGCTTGTAATTCGAGACTTCTTTGGTGGGGACCTTTCCCTTTTTGTCGAGTGTTCACCATGGTCACTGTTCTTTATAGAGAAAAAACTAGGAAAACTAGTTGTTTCCCACAGACAGCGCCAGATTGTGCGTACTGGATCTTGCACAATATAAATACGAGAACAGATCTCTTCCTTGGTGAACTCGAGTGAGTCAGTCGAGTGGTCAGCCCCGCTGCTTGGAACAGCCTATGAGGTCCGGTGGTAACCTGGAATGGTAATGGGAGACCGTCATGGATCAACGGAACGATCCAGTAAGGCTGAAGAAAGGTTCCTGGAACAAAGAAGAACAAGTTAGAAGGGCGCCGAAGTGTTTTTTGGTGTATCCTTTCCGACGATCAAGTTAGTTTTTGAGAGAGAGGAAGAAGAAAACACTGAGTATAATTTGTAGCAAAGGTTTCACCTTGTTTGTCTTGCCTTTAGTGAGGAGTATTTATACCTCAAATACTCATGATTGTTGTCAGTGTGGTCAGTAGGTGATCATTAGATACAGGCAACGTGCGCACTGATTCCTACGAGGAATATCTTCTCTTTTAACTGCTCGGGACCCCCAGCAATCAAGACTGTGTCATCGGCCTGCCGACGGTTCCATGAGTTCCTCTCGGGGAGGATGCAATAAATGCCCTGCCTTAGAGACATTTATTACCTTTCACTTCCGAGCCTTACCGCATTTAATGAAGTCTCATCAAGGGAATGGTGTAATTAAATGCTTGTTTTCTCAAGTCGTGTGTCAGCAAGGGCATGCGGTCTTTCTGTCTCTGATGTGACACAATATGCCACGCGTCCATTCCCCATTGGCTGTAGCCCTTGCCTTCTGACACCAATTGTGTAAGACGAGGTCATGATAGCTAACCTAGCCTAGCCTAGGCTAATGACTTGTACATCAATAGACTCTATAGGAGCAGAGAACGCCATCCTGGACGAAGGTACATCTCGGTACCGAGAGGGATTGGTACATCTCAGAGCCGAGGGGAGGTGTATAAAGCGACCGATGTACCCATATCAGACCGAGGGATACGTGTCGGTTCGTAAACGTACTGGATGCCACTTGATCCCTATGACAAAAGTACCTCGGGGGAGAGGGACTTTTTGAGCCAATGATACATGATCTTAGTAACAGGTTTTTAGTAACACCGAGGACACATGTCTTCATCTTGGAGTATTTCGAAAATGTCCCATCAGTATACTAAGCAATGCAAAACGGGATACTGTTCACCTAAGGTGGAGGCGCCAAGCATGGGAGTTGATGCCACAAAAACAAACTGAAAAAGGCAATAAGAGTCACCATGGATTGAAAGGTTTAGGAGGGAGGCAGATAAATCCATAATTAGGCTGTGCTATTATGTATATATACAGGAAGATGAATCACTCATGGCAGTGTGGCCTTTCTTACGGGCAGCTTAGTTGAACATCTCCATGGAGACAAACACATAACCAAGACAGAAAAATATATTGTTGTTTTCTTTATGTGTTTTTTGGTGTAGTTACTCTGTCTTTAATACTTAATATTAATATTTTTCCTTTGCAGCAATTCTTCTTCTGCTTCCTCTTTTTTGTGTTTGGATTTTTGCTGCAACAAATTGAGAGAATCTATCCAGAATGACAACAGATGAACAGAAACCGCTATACATACATGGAAAAAGTTGGTCAATTTGCATTATAGTTATGCAGAACACAATCAAAAAGGACTTGATGATATTACAGGAAACCTAGCCGACTAGGAACCTTATTAGTATTATTGATGGTATTTGGGATTACCTCGAACTAAGTGTTTACTAGGCATAAACAGTGATCATCAACTCAACCTACTAATGAAGGGATTGTCAAATGAGTCGGACCATTCGAGTCACAAATAGTGTCGGTCTGCATCTGACAATCAACAAGAACAATTGTAACCATAACGACTTCAAACAGTTTCACTCTCATTTAAGTACCTAAAAATTGAAACCTGCAACAGGTAAAACTCCACGTTTGGTGTTGACCAACAGTTCAATTTATGTGTAAGTGAAGGGTCACATCGTATCGATGTTTAGATTTGTCTCAGAAATGTAGATTCGTTTTTACTTGAAACTTCACTCATTCATTGATCATGTCAGTCACTTTTTGTCTGAGCACAGAAAGATCAACACGATCCAGATCACTAACCTGCAAGAATAGTTAAGAATAAGATGTGAATGTGTCTGTGATCATGCAAAAATTTAAGAACTTCGCAGAAACCCTAAATATGGGTGGGAATTTCTCATTCGTTACAGTACCTCGGACTGAATTGTGTGAAAAATCTTTTCATCTCTTTTGGTGGAAATACAACTGACAACGTTGAAGCCTTCTTCAGCCAGTACTTCCAACACTCTTGAGAGGGGGAAACCTTGCCCTTTGGAACCACAGCTGGTTAAAATCTCCAATCCATCACTGCATAAATTCACCGTAACACTTACAGGCAAAGAACCATTTGAGCTTCTGTTTTCAGGACCAATAGCACTTGTATTGAACAAATTCTTTAGCTTCTCTCTCTTCATCCCTAGTTCCTTCATGTTCCTTTGCAAGTGTTCTATATAATTTACTGTTTCCTGAATGTGATCCGATGTAGACCGCTTTCCCTAAAACACAATCGACATAACCCATAAGACTAATTATTAATATCCAAATTCAATTTAGAGAGAGAGAGGGAGAGGGAGAGCAAGAGAGAGGAGAACTCAGAACCAGTAAAGTTCATGATCTCTTGCCATAATTATACATAAGCAGTAAATTTTTATAAATCAAAACATGGGGAAAGAGAAAAAGTTTAACCTTGATGTATTCCAGAGGCAGTAATGAACGAAGAGAAGCATAAAGATTAGTCATTTCCTGCCTTCTTTGCCGTTCAATGTCTTTATGCATAGTTCGTTTCCGCTTGCCGTCCTTAGTACTCTCATCGGGGTTGTCTCGAAAAACCGGTAGTTTTTCACACCTTTCTTCGACGTTGTAGGTGATTAGGGTACTTCTCTCCAGTGAAGAACTCATCCTAAGATCTTTTTGGATTTGGGGTTGTTGGCCAGGATTAGGAGCGATCTGAAAAACCAGCTCATCGCTTTGTTGTAAAGGAAACATTGAAGCTAGATTATCCAAGTCTAACTCAATTATGAACAGAAGTAATAAAGAAGAAGATACGTTTCTTAGAGTATGAAATCTTCAATGGTCCCTCAGATGCCAAGATTCCCTGCAATTTCTTCATAAACAAGAGCATTTCAGAACTGTCTTCACCGGCCACATTTTTTAGAGTAGATTACCAAAAGCATCCTTCAACTATGGGGTTATACTATTCCCCCCTCTTTACTAAAACAAATATCAGATAGCCCCCATGAAAATAATTGTTGTACCTTCTGAGAAAATTGTGCTTGCTCTACTACGTTAATTTTTCCATATATATTTTCATCAACTTTATGCATAATTCCAATATTTTGTGCATTTCTGCATGTGTGCCATTATGTTTGTTTCTTAATCCTCTCATCGTTTTCTCTATCTCTGGTCGATGACCTAACCCATCAAAGGAAAATTCCTCCCCCTTATTCGGAGAGAAATAGAGATTGATTTCAATTTCGATATCAATTTCAATATCCAAATTTCTTTTTTGATTTTGATACTAACTCTATCGATTTTGGTTTTCATTTAGTTCAATGTTTTAGATCTAAATTTCGAAATTGGGTTGGGNATAGAGATTGATTTCAATTTCGATATCAATTTCAATATCCAAATTTCTTTTTTGATGTTGATACTAACTCTATCGATTTTGGTTTTCATTTAGTTCAATGTTTTAGATCTAAATTTCGAAATTGGGTTGTGTGGGCATAAAGTGATGGTTGTGGTATGTGTTTGCATTTGTGGTTGTTTATTGGTACGGGTAGAGGTGTGTGAATTTAAGTGAGTTCAATTTTTGTTTTACAAAATTAACGCACACATGTTGAAAGAAATGGTGGATTCGGTGGCTCAGTGGTTCGATAGGGGTGGTGTTTTTTTTTTTTTTTCCTTTGGAAGTTTTGGCCTAGCGTTGCCCTATAGATGACACAGTCAGAGAAGGGTATATTTTTCTATTGGACTAATGGAAATTATCGATTCTAGCATACTTATACAGACGATAAGTTAATGGATGAAAGTTAAACAATATGTATCAATAGTTGGAGAGGGTTGATCCATTAGGTTTAATAAAGCAAAGTGGTCAATTAACACATGGCTATAGTTGGAGGGAGTTTTTGGTAATTATTTGCTCTATATTTTTGACCTAGCTTAGGGTCAGTACTGTAGTTATGTACAAACGCAACCCCACCCATCTTTGTTCACACTGCGTGGTAGACCAACATTCTACCAAGATAATCTGCAAAGCTAACAATCAATCCCGACCGTCTGATCAACTATCGTTTAGTTGGCTATCGGGCTAGTTGAGTATATTAGTTTCGTATTTTACTATTATATTTGAAGTTGGTTTTGACCTAATANACCGTCTGATCAACTATCGTTTAGTTGGCTATCGGGCTAGTTGAGTATATTAGTTCCGTATTTTACTATTATATTTGAAGTTGGTTTTGACCTAATAATTGGAGTAATGTGGGGCATATTCGCCTGAGTGACAGCTTGTCAGTATCAACATACGAGTACGTGTCTTTGTTTTTTTGTTTTTTTGGACAAGTCTTACAAATTTCCGTGAAAATAGGAGATTCTATAAGGGTAAATTGCATGTTGTCCCCCTTAACCTATAGACCCTGCATTTCAATTCTCTTTGTATTGTTTGAATTCTAACAAATTACCCTTCAACTTTAGACAATATTATTTTAAGAAATTCTTACCATCCACTTATGTTGTCAAACGTGTAAAATTTTGATCATGAGAATCTCACCTTGCTATGAATCATATAAAAAATAAAATATTTCATTTTTTGGGTCCATTACCGCTCTCTTTGACCAACAAACTCTTTCTACATACACCTAATGAACTCCTTCCCCTTTCCCCACCTTTTTCTCCCTCTGGTGAAAATGAGTTTAGTTTATGTTCTTCCATACATTCGTGCCCATTTCATTGTGCTTCTCGCATGTCATGATCATTTATGCTTTTCTACCCTATTATTCTTTATTAGATGGTTTAAAATTTAAATGGACTTTGTATCCTCCTTTGGATGCTCACATGAGTCGGAACGTTTACACTAGTAATATTTATAAAATTTTGAATTGCTTTGAAGGATCCTAGGGCTAAACCACATCCCCTGCGATCCTTCTTCTCCCCGAGGATTCCCCTCACCAACCAACAACCGTAAACCCTTTGCTTGGCGACACCACTACCATGGTGTCGAGAACCACTCACACCAACACACATATATACAAACCACCCTCTCTCTCTCTCTCTCTCTATCTCTCTCTCCAATAACAGAATCTATTATCACTAACACGGAGGCAAAATGATTTACAAATGGTGGATATAATTGTACAATCAAAAATCAACCTTTCCCGTGGCCAATTTAATCTTACTGAAACTTCTTTTTTTTTT